CCGCTTTAAAAGCTAAACAACAAAATAATGCTGGAAAATAATAGTTAATCAAGTGGATTATTGTCATCATTACCATCATAATCAGCAATTGATAAACATATTATGATAAAATAAATAAAAAGAAATAAATATAAAAGTTTTCTAGTTTCGAACATTTTAAAAATTTTCTTTATTTCTTCTGTTATTATGATTTGTTTGATTTGATATACGTGTGATTTTCTTTTTCCTCAATTATACTGAGAAAATTTCTATACACTTGTACTTTTTTCGTCACTGATCTTATTTTCACAAATAAATACACACACGTATATATATATATATATATATATATATATATATATATATATATATATATATACAGACTTACGTAAAGTAAAAGACTCATGTATTATCTGGTATATTATGCCGTGTACAGCTGAAATGATTAGATAACAAAGCTATCAAGAATGAGGATTATGATAGTCATATGCTTTGTATAATACCACAACAACAACAACAACAACAACAACAACAACAACTACTACTACTACTACTACTACTACTACTACTACTACTACTACTAATAATAATAATAATAATAATAATAATAATAATAATAATAATATACTGCTGTTTTAGTCCCAAACCTATTTCCCACTAACTAATCTCTTTTCTTTTATTTAACTAATATAGGAAACACAATTGTACACAAACAAAAAATGTAACATTACATCTATTTATTACCCAATTGGTTTTCAAGAAATATCTCCTCTACAACACGATATTCTTTTTTCAAAAAGCAACAATGTTTCCTTAATTTAAGACTATTTTCTAGGTTTAATTGTTATTAACATTATTGCAGTTGTTATGGATACAGTTGTTGTCAGGCTATAGAAAAAATAAAATCTCAAGTAAATTATATTCATCATAGATCAGTTAGTATATCATAAAATGCAATAAGTTGCATTGTATGGATCATTGAAATTTTTGCTTTTATTTCGTTATTCTTTCCTTTTACTAAAAATAAATCTGACAACAAATTATATATATAATTGAAAGCCCATTACAAAGTTTCATTCATTCCCTTTTAAAACACAAAACGACAATGAATATTAGTTAAAAATTTAGGTATATAAGTAATATTTTAACATTTTAACTAATTTATAGTGGTTGATTAAATTCTGTTTGAGTTCTTGTCCCTAATTTTGTTTGTAGACAATCTATATACTCTTCTATGTTAATGATGTTGCTATTGTTTTCTATTTTATTCATATTCTGCCTATTTTCATTTTGTTCCCGACTTATGTGCAAGGAGTTGCTCAAACTTTGAATAAAATTTTAAAAAAAAGCTGATAAATGTTATTTAAACATAGGAAAGAAATATTTAGTGAAATAAAAGTATCCAAGTAGTGGGTTTAATAGAGATTGTATCATTGATCCTAACGTCTATGATGATAATCACTTTCAATATGGTAAGGAATAATCCTAAATAAATAAATAAATTACAATTAAGAATGATCAAATTCATTTAACATTGTCAAACGTTTATTAAAAATATAGGGGGAATATTTTTAAAAGTGAACTTCATCACTTTCCTTTTGTTGAAATTCAGTCAGCTACAACATAGGACCACACACGTATATGCATCGGTCCAAGTTGCCATACCTCATTAGTACAACGAGATGAACACCAAATTCATAGAATTAGTCACTTCAATGGTAGTAATATATAAAAGAAAGATTATATATAAGGATATAATATAAGAAGAAAGAATTAGTTCGTAAAAAAGGTATAAAGCAATTTTAATCTCACGGTTTAAGGGGATATAAAGAGTGTATACACTTGCACCACTGTGATTGATTCTGAGCCAATTTCAACCAGAGTCTCCAACCATTGGTTACGATAGTCGCTCGGACCCCAACCAAGTAGTCTGCATCTACCAACATGGCTCAGACTAGAAGTTAGTGATTCCAAGTACTGATGTCACGATTTGGTTTGGCCAACCATAACTTTCTTTCATCCATCTCCAACACTACTCAGCATTGCGCGCCCCCAAATGCCCTAGTACGGTCGAGAGTGGGGAGAGTCAGCTCTCCCTCTCGAAATGCTCTCACATGGCCACGCGTATACAGCCTCTGCCAGGGTAGTCCTACTCATTGCCTTCTCGTGGCGGGGGTGTTGTTTACGAAATTGACAGGACGAAAAGCGAATGTCCGGCACTTTAACCGGGTTGGTGGACATGGAGAGTCCACCTAGGGGAGTTGGAAAACCCTGATTCAAAACCAATGGTGCACATGGGCTCCAGTATCCTCAGGGAAAAAATGGCGTATGAACCTACTGTTGGTCACTGGATACCGTGGGACTGCATCTCCTTACGATGCTCCACTGTCTTATGGATTAGGTCAAAGGCCAGTATTCAAGCCCTCACAGAGTCAGTCAGTCAGCTGCAACGTAGGACCAGGCACGTATATGCTTCGGTCCAAGTTGCCATACCGCATTAGCACAACAAGATGAACACCGGATTCATAGAAGTAGTTAATTCAATGGTGGTAATATATAGAGGAAAGATTGCATATAAGGAGATAGTACAGGAAGACAGAATTAGTTCGTAGAAAGAAAGATTTGAAGTGATTTTAATCTCTTAGTTTAAGGGAAGACAGAGAGTGTATACACCTACGCCATTGTGATCGATTCTGAGCCATGTCGCCAAGAGTCTCCAACCATTGGTTACGATAGTCACGCGCACCCCAACCAGGTAGTCTGTATATACCAACATCGCTAAGACCAGAAGCTAGTGACTTCAAGCACTGATGCCACATTTTGGTTTGACCGCCCCCAACTTTCTTCGAATTATCCCTAACACCGGTTAGCATTGCGCGTCGTGGTAATCGGTGTTCAGGCATACGCAGAACGTGGCCTAACCATCTCAATCGATCAAGATTCATAACCTCATCAACTGACTTACCATCATTCCGTAATACCCTGCGTCTAACCTCACTATTACTTACCCGATGATCCCAGCAGATACCCGCAATATCTCTAAGGCATCTGTGGTCAAATACTAGTAACTTACGAATATCTTCTACTCTTAAAGGCCAAGTTTCGCAGCCGTATAGTAGAACGGAACGAACTGCCGCGCAGTATTCTCGTCCCTTCATTGATAGACGGATATCTCACCTGCGCCATAGGTGAAGTAAGTTGGCAAAGGCCAAACGAGCTTTTCGAATCCGTGCTGAGATTTCGTCAGAAACCAACCTATTAGGGCTGATCAGACTTCCAAGATAAGTGAAGTTGTCAACACGTTCGACTACTTCACTCCCTATCCTTAGTTCAGGTGTTGACGAAGACCAGTACTGAAGCAACAACTTGCATTTAGAGGGAGAGAAGCGCATCCCAAACATTCTGGCATTGTTGCTCAGTGCTACCAAAACACTGCATTTTATCAGCGTATTCACCAAACAGAACTATTTCATCTGCGTATTCTAAGTCAATAAGTGGACCTCCTGGTAGGAGATCAATACCCGAGAATTCAGTCGATGAGAGCGTTATTTCCATCAGTAGATCTATGATGAAGTTAAACAAAAATGGAGAAAGTGGACAGCCTTGGCGGACGCCACTTGAGGTTGCGAAAGCAGATGACAGTTCGCCATAAGTTCTGACTCGACTAGTAGTGTTCGATTAAAGAGCCTTCACAAGGTTTATGTACTTCTGAGGTACGCCTTTCAATGACAGACACTGCCACAGAACCTCTCGGTCAACAGAGTCAAACGCTGCTTTTAAATCAAGGAAGACCATTATTGTCGGACGCCGATAAGTATGCCTGTGTTCTAGAAACTGACGAATGGTGAATATGTGGCGGTCCCCTCACACAAATCGAATGAAGTGTGGCATGTATGTATTCGGTGCCCCTTTGTACCAATATTTATATGTTTAAATAGATAAATATTAGGCGCCGTGGTAGTCGATGGTTCGGCACTCGTAATACATAGCCCAACCATCTCAGTAGATGAAGATTCATAACCTCATTAACTGATTCGCCATCATTCCCTAATACCCTGCGTCTAACCTCACTGTTACCTACCCGATGATCCCAGCAGATATGAAACATATTTTCAGAACATCTGTGATCAAATACTAGTAACTTACGAGTACCCTCTACCCTTAATGGTCACGTTTCGCAGAACACAACGAACTGCTGTGCAGCATTAATTGTAAGTGCTAAACACTGAAAACTAATAAGTAGCTACTTCAGCCTTATGAGTTATGAAACATAACTACACTAACTGATATCCAGCCTGCACAAAAGAAAATAACTTACAAATTTAAATCATTGGGTAATGTATTGAAAATGAAAGGCTAACAGATATGAGAGTTTAGATTATTCAATTAAAATCACTTATGAGGCTAGATATTCATCACTCTATTGTTTAAGCAATCCAAATACAATGACTAGAAGACATTTATCCTCTTTACTTTCATCGAATTAAGTGAAGTTTATTGGTTGTGAGTGCTGTGGTGGCATTAAAAATTGAAAGTACAGATTTTAACACACATGTAATAACATCAAAATATTAATTATAGGTGAGAACACCTAACTTTATTAATAGTATCTTTTAGATAAACAGATGGCTAACAGTAGATATTATTATCTACTTTTCTCAAATTTTAATGAAATACATTGTATTCTATTTATAGATATATATATAATTTACTATAAATCGGAATCAAACAGTCCATTTCATGGGATGTATAGTTTAACACTACTCACTCCAAAGCGAACTCAACGAAATATTTTTAGTAAGATCTTTAAATTTCTAGCTGTGTGACGGAAACAAAAAAAGTGATAATCTTAAGTTCATTCTAATGAATACCGAAGTGTTGTCTCATTGTTCAATTAGTTGAATAAACACTTTCGTTTGATGAATATAATCTACATAAATATTTAAATTTCCCTCAACAATTATACCTGATACTTATCATCAACACAAGACACAAATCCAAGTCATCAAGAAATTCAGTAGTTTTGGGTTGAACAACGTGTGCTAATAAAACCAGTTATTTACAAAATTAATTGTTTTGTAAAGAAAGTGAACCAAGAATTACAAAAACTTATAATTCATTAGAAGAAACGTGCTGTATTCCACTGTATAAAATACATTCACAACAACTTATGTACAGAAAAATGAATACAAAATTGTCAGAAACATCTTAAACACGTCGAGGTTTTTTCTCTATCATACTTTCCACATCCCCACCTCTCTTACGAACATTAAGCGGATTTCTAGGATCATACAAATCATAACGATCAGGATGTGGCATAGTAGGATCAAGAACTTTTCTAGCTGGTGTTGGAACTTCTGATACTAAACGATTTTTCATCCTGGAATATGAAAAATATGAGATGAGTGACATTGAATTACATTTCATTAAAAACCACAAATCATATAGGCATATAAATTTCAACAAATCTTCTGAATTCGTGTTAGCTCAAAGTTAGTTAAAATAGTGAATATTTCAATAAGTAGTTCTGTAATCAACGATTTATATATTTCAGTTTGCACATAATTCATTACCCATTTATTCTTAAATTTTAAGCCTATTTTGACAGCACACAATTATTACACTATTTTAGCATAAAACATTTAGTTTTCATATGCTTGACGTACTTCAAATATTTACAACACTTTTAAAAGTAATTATTAGAAGCTTACTTATGCTTGTTACTCCTCGTGAAAGAGCATAGGCCACTTACCAGCATTCTCCATCCAACTCTGTCCTGGGTAATCCTATCCAGCTCTTTCCAATTGTTATTCATCCTTTCCATATCTGATTCTACTTACCGATGTAATGTTTTCTTTCGCCTATCTCTTTTTCGCTTCCCTTCAAGATTGTAAGTTAGGGCCTGCTTCGTGATGTAGTTTGATTTCCACTTCCACCATCTTTTCCTAATTTCCTCTTCAGATGAAAGCTGATTTGTTTTCTCCCACAGTAGGTTGTTAATGATGGTATCCGCACAATGGATAGTGAGTATCTTACGTAGACAACTATTTATAAATACTTGTACCTTTCTGATGATGGTTGTAGTAGTTCTCCAAGTTTCAGCTCCATACAGTAGAACTGTCTTCACATTCATATTGAAGATTCTGACTTTAATATTGGTTGAAAGTTGTTTTGAGTTCCATATGTTGTTCGATTGTAGAAATGAGGTCCTTGCTTTGCCAATCCTCAATTTTACGTCTGCGTCTGATCCTCCTTGTTCATTGATGATGCTTCCCAGGTATGTGAAGGATTCCACGTTTTCCAGAGTTTCGCCATCAAGTATGATTGGGTTGGTGTTCTCCGTGTTGCAGTTAAGGACCTTGATTTTCCCTTTGTGTATGTTGAGGCCTATTGATACAGAGGCTGCTGCTACACTGGCTGTTTTTGTCTGCATTTATCCGCGTGTATCCGATAGGAAGGTTAGGTCATCTGCGAAGTCCAAACCGTCTAATTGGTTCTCAGCTGTCCATTGTATGCCGTGTCCTCCCTCGGATTTCGAGGTCTTCATACTTCAGTCGACCACCAGAAGAGAAAGGGAGAGAGTAGACAGCCTTGTCTGACTCCGGTCCTTACTTGGAATGCATCTGTCAGCTTCCCTCCATGCACCACTTTGCACAGTAGTCCGTCGTATGAGTTCCGGATAATGTTGAAAATCTTCTCAGGAATTCCATGGTGTTGAAGGAGTGTCCATAATCTTCTCCTATCTACACTGTCAAAAGCCTTTTCATAATCAATGAAGTTGATGTATAGTGACGAGTTCCACTCAACCGATTGTTCGCAATTTGGTGTGTGTACCACCGATCCTTACGGAAGCTGGTACTACTCAATAAGTTAAGTACAAGTTCGTAAATTAGCCTTGAGTTATATTTGATGTTTGACGGATGAAAACAGTATCCGAGGTGAGGAAGGACGTGAAACTTAAACAGAATAACTAAAAACTCAGTTTTCAAAATGAACCAATATAAATCCGCTAAAAACATTTTCCGATTTCTTTACTTTGTGACAAATGCGACGTTTTGCTAGATAAACATGGTGGACGCTCACAAAAAATTAATATTTGGAGCAAACACAGCTCCAAAATCGAAATTGCCAGGAAAAATATTTCCCAAACGTGGATTACGTGATTTAAATCACTAAACTAATTTTTTTTATTATTCGTATCGAAAGTAAATAACATTTATCTATTACAATGAATATTTAACCAGTTATATGTACCACTTAGCTTCTTCGATACTATAGCGTGCCTCAGAAGATAGTCAACATCATACAGAATTCCTATGATGGATTAAACTGCAAAATCGTGCATGGAGGACAGTTGACAAAGTCGTTCGAAGTAAAGACCGGTGTCAGGCAAGGTTGCTTACTCTCACCCTTTCTCTTTCTCCTGGTGATCGACTGGACCATGAAGACATCAACATCTGAAGGGAAGCACGGGATACAGTGGACAGCTAGGATGCAATTGGATGATCTAGACTTCGCAGATGATCTGGCTCTTCTATCGCATACGCAACAACAAATGCAGAAGAAGACAACCAGTGTAGCTGCAGCCTCAGCAGCAATAGGTCTCAATATACACAAAGGGAAAAGCAAGATTCTTCGATACAACACAGCATATAACAATCCAATCACAATTGACGGAGAAGATTTAGAAGATGTAAAATCCTTTACATATTTGGGCAGTATCATCGATGAACACGGTGGATCTGATGCAGATGTGAAGGCACAGATCAGAAAAGCAAGAGCAGCATATTTACAACTGAAAAACATCTGGAACTCAAAACAATTGTCAACCAACACCAAAGTCAGAATTTTCAACACAAATGTCAAGACAGACCTACTGTATGGGACGGAAACCTGGGAAACTACGAAATCCATCATCCAAAAGATACAGGTGTTTATTAACAGTTGTCTACGCAAAATACTTCGGATCCGTTGGCCAGACACTACCAGCAACAACCTACTGCGGGAGAGAACAAACCAGATCCCAGTGGAGGAAGAAATCAGGAAGAAGCGCTGGAAGTGGATTGGACACACATTGAGGAAAGCACCCAACTGCGTCACAAGACAAGCCCTCACATGGGATCCTCAAGGCCAAAGGAGGAGAGAAAGACCAAAGAACACATTACGCCGAGAAATGGAGACAGACATGAGAAAAATGAACAGAAATTGGACACAACTGGAAAGGAAGGCCCAGGACAGTGTGGGTTTGAGAATGTTGGTCAGTGGCCTATGATCCATTGGGAGTACAGGCGTAAGTAAGTAAGTAAGTGATGTACCACTTGTTTAAAAAAAAAATTGTTCTCTTTATCAACAACAAACATACCAACCATCCATAGGTGAAAATTCGCAAAGTTCTTCGTTTGATTCTTGTGAACCAATAACACTACGAAGACGATTACCAAATCGCTCCAATAATGATAAAGTTACAGCTTCACGTTCAGAACCCTGTAATATAAATATAAGTAATTTCAAAAGAGAATTGTAGCTCTAACGATTAGTAAACAAATGAAAAAAACAACTACAATTGATCATTTAAAATGAACTACCTTGATAGAAAGAGTAAAAAAAATAATTTTACAATACCGAACAATAAACAGTGACCAGTCAATTTCTATTTCCAAATCAGGTCTATTTTTTCATACTAGTTTTGATGAAATTAACACACAAATTGTTTTGACATTATATACATTCTACATAATATTAGATTAATGAAACAATTATTAAATTATACAAAAATCAGTAAGGATTTCAAAGATCTAGAGAGCACGAAATACAATTCATTCGCTTCATCCTATAATCTTTTTTTAGGTCTTAGTTTATAAAAAGCCCCCAAATGCCCTAGTACGGTCGAGAGTGGGGAGAGTCAGCTCTCCCTCTCGAAATGCTCTCACATGGCCACGCGTATACAGCCTCTGCCAGGGTAGTCCTACTCATTGCCTTCTCGTGGCGGGGGTGTTGTTTACGAAATTGACAGGACGAAAAGCGAATGTCCGGCACTTTAACCGGGTTGGTGGACATGGAGAGTCCACCTAGGGGAGTTGGAAAACCATGGGACTGCATCTCCTTAAGATGCTCCACTACCTTGTGCATCAGACCTTTAGGTCGAAGGCTTTGGGTGTGACCTCCTAAGAAAACTACCTGCTTCGGTTTGGGCACCCGGGCAGTATCACAGACCTCGCACAAATCAAATGAGATTTGTGTGGCGCATATGTACTTTGTGCCTCCTTGTACCAATATCTATGTGTTCAAATAGATAAATAAATAAGTTTATAAAAATTCTGAAATAGTTGCATATCAAAAGCTAATGAGATTTAGACAAAATGTAATAGATGAATATAGGAACTGAGAAAATGTAATAACCACTTTTTTTTCATTGTTAATGTTGTTTTTAATAAACATGTCTGTCATATATAAAATGTAATTCACAAATATATTGACAGTAAGAAAATACTCAACAGAAAATAATGAAATATTGATTGTTAGGAATATGAAAAAAGATGTAAAGAGGAAAGAATTAGTACATTTCATTATTTAGAAAATTTAGGGAGATTATGTACATCAATGTGAGAAATGAACTTGAAATATTTACCGTCATGTTTTTATCTAGTGTTATCATAACATAAGGAAATCTAATCTATAACCAATATATATGCAAATAATCAATAATGAAATGAAAAGATACTGTGAATGGTTAGGATATTATGATTGTGTCATCATCTTTACTTGTCATAAAGTGTTGCTTTTTTACATTTAACTCTATCACTACCGGAAAATCATAAGTACTCTATAAGTAACAAATAATAAACAATCAATATTTTTATGTATTTTAATAAAGTTTCTGCCTAAAAATACCATACAAACAGAGAGCAATATTGTGATATATGCTTGACTTTTATCAGATACTGAACATCTCAACGAACTCTAAAATGATATGAGTGTACGTCACACAACTTTTAGAAAAGAATTCCAAATCGCGTGTATTCAAAAAGTAAAGGTTGAATTTGACAAAACGATTCTGACTCAATAAATTAGGAACATACAATTATTGCGTATGATCTCACCTTTATAGCTTTTTTTGATTTTGCTTTGTAACTAGCAAAATCAGCTGAAAAAGTGTCTAAATCATCTACCAAAGGTTGAGTAGTCTTTGAATCACCATCAAGTTCACCTTTTTGTTTAGCCTCCCAGCGGGCTAAGGCAGCTTCTTCTAGTTCTTTTTGCTCTTGAGCTTCACGGACCTTACGTTCCAGTTCTTCCTTCTCTCTCGACTGTTTGTTTTTTTCAGCGCGCTTTGACAATGCGATTTGACGACGTAATTCCTCAGCTTCTTGTCGCAACATTTCACTAAAAAAGACAAACAGAAAACCCCGAATACTTAGTGACCCAATCAATCATATCAATAAATTTAAACTCAACAATATTCAGTCATTTATACAAGGGTTTTTGAATTTTATCGATCAAGCTATTGACGTAAGTACAACACTTTTGAAAATTCGATGGTTGGAGATAAAAGAGTCGACTTTAAATGCTCATATGTACAGTGTACAAATAACTAACGTACGTGGCCCCCAAGAGATATAAATTCTTATCACAATGCCACATTCATGTAGTGCAGAATAACTGAAAGACACAGGTTCAAGGTTGATACAATTCCCGATGATTAAGCTTAATAGTCAGGTCTTAATTGGTTGGAGAATGAGTGACTTATAAGCTAATATCGTCCAATCGTTTATGACATTTTATTGTTTTTATTTTGTATTCATATGTTGTATATAATCACGTTATTTTATTACATGAAAACTGATCATTTAGCTAGTGGTCTTTTATTTGATGTCTAGTCAGTGCTTAACTTCCTCCGGTTATCCGTGTCAATTTTTCAAAACTATCCACCTACACAAATTGCCTCTTTCACCGAAAATTCTTCGACTTATAGATGTTTGGGCCACGTGTTACGCATACCTGAACACCGATTACCACGACGCGCAATGCTGACTAGTATTGGGGATGGTTAGAAGTTAGGGTTGGTCAAACCAAATCGTGACATCAGTACTTGGAATCACTAACTTCTAGTCTGAGCCATGTTGGTAGATGCAGACTACTTGGTTGGGGTCCGAGCGACTATCGTAACCAATGGTTGGAGACTCTGGTTGACATTGGCTCAGAATCAATCACAGTGGTGCAAGTGTATACACTCTTTATATCCCCTTAAACCGTGAGATTAAAATTGCTTTATACCTTTTTTTACGAACTAATTCTTTCTTCTTATATTATATCCTTATATATAATCTTTCTTTTATATATTACTACCATTGAAGTGACTAATTCTATGAATTTGGTGTTCATCTCGTTGTACTAATGAGGTATGGCAACTTGGACCGATGCATATACGTGTGTGGTCCTATGTTGTAGCTGACTGACTAACTTCGACTTATAGTCAAATCACAAATTGAACTCACAAAAGATTCTGATTTCTAGGCTTCTTTCGACAAAGTTGTCGAGGAACTAAATATCACATGCGGAATTAACCTGATCAATTCCCTGCAAGTCCAGACAAAAGTATGCGGAAGTTTTGAAATAACGCTATTGTGAAACCCGTTAAAAAATGATTATTTGAAGGTATTCCGGAAAATCCTGGGACATTTATTTGCAACTTGTCACGCATTAACTTGAGCCGCATTGAAACTGAGGGACTTTTATTCGGATTTAAATTTAATATTCCAAGAAAATACATTGACAGAATTGATACAGAAACCCAATTTGAAAGCTCGTTTCAACAGTTGTCAGGACAGAAAACAATTGATGAAGAAAAACAAGGTCAGCTTAAATTTCGAATCGTTGATATTACCAATCAATACATAACATCCCAGATCCCGCAGTTGAAAGTTGTATATAAAGAACATCAAATAGCCTATGAAAATATAGTCATTCTCAAACCTGATAAGGGCTCCGATGCACTCCTAATGGATAAAGAAAACTATGCCAACAAAGTTAAGATGATTCTGCTTGGTTCCTAATTGATTGCTCAAAAAAGGACATGACCGAAGCAACAGAAAAGAGTTAGGTATATAGGTCGTTCGATGCGTACTTTATCCAAAAGAATTCAAGAAAATTGTCCGGCGTGGCTAAAAAGAGGAGGCAACGGCTCAATAAGAAGCTGAGTAATCGAATACCTAGTGAACACAGGTCACTCAATCAAGACAGACTCTGAGTTCAAAGTCATCTACAAGGTAACTAGAAGTCTCCCACAAACAATTAGACTGCATCTTCTTTGCATTGCAGAAGCATTAGCCATACATCCAGACAAACCAGAATAGTGTGTGCGAAAGAGACTGGTACAACCTCTTCTTCTACCATGATCTTAATGTCTGATATTTTTTTCTCTTTTTCATACTCTTCTTCCTTTACAGCCATCTGCTTCACCCTGCATCTTCCCCTTGTATTTTCTACCCTCAACCGGTTTATTTTTGTTTCCACGATCATCCTCGTTACATTTAATCTCAATTTCAACATTTATCTTGTCATGCTGAGCCATCCTTTCCCAATGGTAATTTCCCTATCTATCTTTTGATGAATACATAAGCCATTAACAATCAAACGATTATTAAACTTTCCTTGTTTTAAAAGAATTTTTTAATAACTTTGTTTATTTAACCTCACTGTCACCATGTCTAACAGAAGTTTATTACCAGTATTATTATAATTATTACCATCCTGAAAAATAAGCATATATATATGCGATTGTACAGCTTTGAAACTGAAGTTGCCGAAAAGAGAACTCTTAGCTGAACTAATCACAAAGAAGTTAAAAGACTTTTAGAAAAGGAACTTAGGTAATAATCAAAAATGTAATAAATGAAAACAGCGCAGATCTAGATTACCTTACTTATATGGACTACCAAAGCTCCACAAACCTGATATTCCCGTCAGACCTATCCTATCGATGATTAATCCCCAATCTCACAAGCTCGCTCAGTAGTTAGAAAATAAATTAGAACCTATTCACTTGAATTTATCTGTCCGTAGTTTAAAGGACACCTTTCAATTTGCTCAGATGCTATAAAATGTTAACATCTTTGATAAATTCATGGTTTTATTTGATACATCATCACTATTTGTTTCCATCCCACTAGAAGAAACTATACAAATTATATGTCAACATTCTGAACTAGTTCCCCTACCGAACGACGAACTCAAGCAACTAGTACTGATGTATACTAAAGATGTCCAATTTCAGTTCAACGATATCCTGTACCGTCAAGTTGATGGAGCGGCCATGGGCAGTTGGTTGAGCCCAATCCTGGCAGATATCTTTGTCTCGAACCTAGAACAAATAATTATGAAATCGACAATTAATGACATAACGTTGCTGCATGCAATGATTCTCAACATGCTTCTCGTATACTAGACCTTTTCAAAAGAATACACCCTAACATTAGATTTACAATGGAAGGTCAATATGATAACATGTTCCATTTTCTAGATATTGGTATTAAATGTAATGCAAACGGCCGATTAGAAAGATATATATAGCGAAAGGACACCTGGAGTGGGCTATACTTGAACTTCCATAGCTTTTGTCTGATAAGCTACAAAAGAGCTTTGACTACAACGCTATTCAACCGTATACACAGATTATGCTTTGAAGATAGAATTGAAGAGGGATTAGCTATAGTTGAACGTTGCTTACGTGAGAATGGTCATCCACAAAAATTTATAAGTACGAAACGACTAGAAAAAAGGAAATGCTTTATCCTACGGTTGAGAAAAAGCCTGTCTTCTTAAATCTTGGCTTCAAGGGTGATGAAATAGCTGGAAGGGGTGATTTTAGAGTAAAGGCAATACTAAAAATAAGGTATCCAGTGTCCAAGTTGGTGTCCCTATACCAAACCAAATGCTCATTAAGCAATCAAATTTGAACAAATATCCGCCTTATATTAACTCTAATTGTGTTTACTAGTTAACACATACGTACCAAAGCACGTATACTGGAAGGAGAGTTTGTTTCCTCACCTCCAAAAAGAAACAGTTATAAATCTTTTTTCACCCTAGTGACCTTGTTTTTCTTACAGTTCACCCGTCCATAAAATTCACAAGGGAGAAGGAAAATGGGGGTAGAATAGCCTTTCTAGATGTTCTACTTACAAGGAGGAAGGACGTGTCGCTAAAAAGAAACATAAACAGGAAAATTATCTGGACGGGTCAATACACAGGCTTTCTTAGTTTTGTTCCTCTACACAACATCATAGAATCAAGACTATATGCTCTGTGGATACGATTGAAGATGAAACAAAGGCATTATACATAACCCTGAAGGAAAATGGATATCTCGAGAAATTTTTAAGTAAAAATAGCCAATAAAATACAGCATACAAAATGCCCGACTGTCAATAAAAAGCCTCTGTATATACGCTTAAAATTCAGAGGCGATGCACCGAGTGAAATGCTAAGACTTAAGTTAAGCAGATCAATTCAAAGGACTTTTAATGCACCTTCCCTTGTGGTTAAGCAAAGGTGTAGTCAAAACTGTTAACAGCTCCATTTTAGACCATCTAGTTCAGACGGGACATACAGCCAACATGGAACAATCTTTTGCAATAATCTATCGTGTTAACAGCAGTCTACCTAATTCTGTCAGACTGAGAATCCTACAGACGGTTGAAGCAATTGCTATTCAAATCAAAAAGCCAGAGCTTTGCATCCAAAAGAAGTATGTCCAGCCACTCCTTTTACCCTGGCCAACTTTGGGGCCAACTAGTTAATAATCGACTTTATAATATGGTGACGTAATTTGTTTAATTTTCATTTTATGTCCCAAATTTATCTTATCATTATTATTATCTTTATCATTGTTATTATTATTATTATTATTACACTTGATAACCTTTATGAGAAATTTATTCAGCATCCATCCCTATCTACTATATCTGACCTAATTCATTTTATTCTACATATTAAGTAATTTCCGATTTTTATTCCATTATTGCCTCTCCCTCACCCCATGTTAACCATATTTATTCTGATCATTTATCTAACAATTTCATTTCGCTTATAAACGGATTCAAGTTAACACTTCGTATTAATTAACCTCAACATTAACGATCTCATTTGATTTTATATGACAAACAACAATTCTTAATTTACATATTACAATTTCAAAATGATGTACTCTGCCTTAAATCTGGCCAATTTTATGGATTATTAATTTTGATTTATAATTGTAGAATCTGATGAGAAATTATTGAAAAGAATATTCTTCGTTCATACAATTGTGTTTTAATATAATGGGAAATTTCCAGCGATTAATATACGATATGTTGCTTTCAACCATAGATAAAACTTATACGAGAAAATATCAACTGGCTTACATTCGTTTGGCTTTAGCTTCATCTTCTTGAAGGTGTGCTGCATCACGTCGCCGTTGTCGTTCTTGAATTTCTTTTTCTAATTCTGATTTTGCACGATTAACTGCCTCAGCATCTTCATCGCTTATCTTCACCGGGATTGAGCTAAGACGAGGATCAGAAAGGAGATCATGAGCACTTTTACTCTTTTGTCGAAATTTCTAAAAATAGTAAGTGAAATCTAAACATAACATGGAGTATTTTTTACAAATAAATCATGTTAACTCTTGTTAAGGAAATGCGAATGTATATGAGAAATTAAACGCTAAAGATTATATACGTTAAAAATCACCTCAACTACTGTGTTTACAACTTCTTCCTCTTCCTCTGCTTCTTCTCCGAAAGACAGAAGAGAAAAATTTCTACAGAATAAACGATTAACAAAAATTAGCAATGGTATAATACAGGGAATTTAGTTAGTAAATAGTATTACGTAGAAATACCAGTATGATAAGCATGATAAAATGATTAATATATTTAAAATAAAACGAAAAGTTAGGATAACAGTGACGAGTATACTTCAGCTGTTAAAATTCAATTGTCAGATTTTGCTTATTAATGACTAATTTTGAGAGGTATTTCCCGGAGTTATAATGAAAAACCGCGACCAGTGTAGTTCAGCTAGTTTGGGTGCGAAGTAATTACTCGCCAATGCAATAGGAAGACGGTTGTGTAACATATAAGACAGACTGAAATAAGATATGTAGACCGTTAAACGCCAGTTTAGTAGTCTAAAGGTCGTGAGGCCTGAAGGCCCTACGTCTAAAACCCGGCAGAGTAGTGGGTCGGCAACTCAGGCAACAACGAAACATGGTGCTAGTAGGTGCCACAACCCAGCTTATTTCTTAGTTTCAGTCGGTCACAACGTCAAACCAGGTACATATGTACATCGGTTCAAGTTACCACATCCCGTTAGATACGATTCAAGAAAATATAAATCAGTGAAAAACATGAAAAAGAAATTGAGGGATTTGGAAGCTCAGAATTCAGAAGACAGGGAATGGATACACCTGATCCGTTGAAAACGATTTCGAGCTATGTCATCCCAAGTCTCTAACCATTGGTTATGATAGTCACGTGGACACCAACCAGGTAGTCATGGACTGATAACATATTTTGACTTGACTGCCCCTAGCTTTCTCCCAACCTGCTCTTGCACCAGAAAATTTACTACCTTACTAATCAATTTACTATCTTTACCTAGTACTCTATCCCTAATCCATGGCATTACTTACTCCGTGATCCCAGAATACACGAGCAGTACTTTGTAGATACTTATGACCAAATACCAGTAACCTACGGATATCGTCCTTTAGTTAGAAGATGGATATCTCGCCTACGCTACAAATAACGCAAGCTGGTAAAGGAAAATCGAGCCTTCTGAATCCGTTCCGAGATTTCGCCAGACACCAGACCATCAGTACTGACGAGACTTCCGCGACAAGCGAAGCGGTCGATGCGTTCAACGACTTCACTCCCTATCAATAATTCGGGCGATGACGCAAGCCAATCGTGAAGTTACTTTTTACATTTGGAGAGAGAGAATCGCATCCCAAACATGCTTGCATTGCTGATTAAGGTGGTCAGAAGACTGTTCGCTTTGTCAACGTCCTCACCAAACAGAACCATATCATCTGCATATTTTAAGTCAACAATTGAACCTCCTGGTAGAAGATCTACCCCCGAACAGGTGAACAATGAAAGTGTTATCTCTAAAAGCATGTACATAACAAAGTTAAATAAAAGTGGAGAAAGGGGACAACCCTGACAAACACCACTTAAAGTAACCAATTCCGACGACAGTTCGTCATAAGCTTAGACCCGACCTGAGGTGTTCAAGAAGAGAGCATGTGCAAGGTTAATGTAATTCTTTGGTACGTCTTTAAATGAGACACCGCCACAGAACCTCACAATAAACAAATTGGAACGCTGTAATAAGATCAAGCAACACAAAAATAGTAGGGTGTCAAAAAGTGTGCCTATATTCCAGAATTTGATGAAGGGTGAATATTTGGTCTATACATCTATGTCCAAATCTGAAACCAGTCCAGTTTTCTCCGATTTGCTCTCCACAAGCTCTAGTTAGATATCGAAGTATTATTGAGGCTAATTCTTTAGACACCACATTAGCTAAATAGATTCCTCTGTGATTGTTACGAGAGAACTTTTGTCCTTTCTTATAAACTGGGACGATCAGAGATCAGAATCAGTCAGATGGTATGACGTTCAGTTCCCAGATTTCAGCTAAGATCTCAGTTAATTTAACTGCTAAAATTTGACCACCATCCTTAAAAATTTCAGGGCTTGGTTCGTTAGGTCCTGATGCTTCCCCCCACTTTAGTTTACTTATAGACTTCTCAACCTCACTAAGAGTTGGAGAACTTACATCAGTCTGCCATTCAGATAGTGGGCAAATGAAATGAGGTTGAAGATCAGTTGAACTGTTCCCTAAAGTTTTCTGCCCATCGGTCCAATCTCCTGGTTTGAGAGTAATAGTCCCCTCTTTATCCGAGATAGTTTCACTAACAGCCGCATTTTTAATACCCACCTCGTTGATAAGTCTGAACAGTTATCTACTGTTACCTATCACTGATGCTTTTCTCATCCCTTCTGCATTCGCTACCACTACTCATGATCATCATTACGTAAGCTTATGACCAGCCTACGTTTAATCTGCCTCAGCTCTTCATCGTATTCAGACTCAGGTGGGATGAGTTTTCAAACATCTATCAGTTCTATAAACGACACTAAAATCAGCTGATTTTTCCAAACCTCTTGGTTACTAATAGATATTACTGCTGCTTCCACAGCTTTTTGGATGTCATACAAAGCTACCTCGGGGTGGATATCACTTTCACTGTTGCCTAACTCCTCTAGTTGTTTCTGAAATATATTTTTAGCCTATCTATCATTAAGTTAAACTCTAAGGGGTTTTCTTAATGGAACTTTTATTCATCCAGAATGACGTAGATAAATACGTGCTCAAATGAGAGCATGATCCAAGTCTAATGTGCTCCAAAATGAGCGAGTCTTCTACGGAGCAGCTTCAACAGTGTCCATTAGTAATGTGGTCTATTTGAGTTCATCGATGAGTCGATTGTGGAAGTTGCCACGTCAGACGATATTTCTCCTTATATTTAAAGTTGGTGTTTACCAGAAATAAACGGTTATCTGAGCATAGTTGCAACAGACGGCTGCCATTATCTGTTGGCTGAGCTGCAACACTGTAAAATCCGCCCAAGTGGTTTAGTTTACCGACTTGAGCACTTAAATCACCTGAAACGCATCACACCAGAGAGTTTAGCTTTTTGAAATAGGTTGGATAGCTTCACGTAAAATTCATCTTTAACTTCATCTGACCTCCAATCAGTGGGAACGTAGACAAAGACAACGAAAAGGCGACAGCATGTGTCCTTAACTCTTACTGTCCCGTTTGGTTGAACATCGCTGTTGAACTCCACCCTCGGGACTTCAGTTGGTGCTTTTAGTCTTACCGTTCTCCAACCAACATGCCTGGCATGGAAGGACCTGAAGGGACAAGTGTTCCAGCCAACATGGCTCGTTGAGTCATCACGGTGGGCAAACCCGAACACCACATTAGGGTAGCAGCTACGGTCGAGTACTTGCATGGCAAACGAAATAAATACAGTCAATATGATACTGGTCCACAGTTTTGTAACGTACAACTCAGTTTTAAAGAATGCGACAGTTTCTCATCGGTAGAAATACTGAGATATCTATTGTTCCATTGTTTGTAAAAAACCTATCTCACAGTAAAGATATGAATAAATTTCCCAAGCCAAATACTTCAAATATGTTTGAATGATAAACTGCCGCATCTACTCAATTTTGTGAGCATCTGAAAATTCACCTAAAAAGTAACATACATTGACGCAACCTAGTGTTCGTTTTTAGATGCATTCCTTAAAAAACAGAATTTTAGCTCGACAACTCAATTTCAGATCATTTTACTGCTTTGGTTACTTGGAGAATTAAGCGAATTTCGCTGTTATCTACGGAGTTTATCCAAGCTTCTTTAAACCGTAGAAATCAGGAAAACACGTTTAAAACACCTGAATTTTCATTTTAAAAGGTAAATTTACTCCCTAACTTGCAATAGATATCAACAACTAAATAAAAGTGAAAGCCTTAAGCGATTTCGGATTTCATCTTACCCCCATTTATATTATCCTCGTTTTTTTCACTTCATAGTTTCATTTTGTGTTTGTATACATTTAATCATCCTTGTTACATCGTTTAACTTAATAGATTAACATTGATTAACACATTAGCTGTCAGTCTTTTAAAATACTTACTGAAACTATGTCTAGTATCAGACAATCATGGCCAGTTATCAAACACCAGTTAAGCATAGATTAAGATTTCATGTAAACGACTGTAATAATATAACAGAAACAAACGCTTCTTCCTCCAAATCTTTTACAACTAGTTATGATAACAAGATATATACGTTTTCGAAAGTTAAGTTTATTTTACAGAGATAGGTTGACTTACTTTGTAGCTTTCGCCGTGACCTTAACTTCCTCTTCGACACCTGATTTAACTATCTGCTTTGGCCGATGCCTCGGTTCAATATCGTCATATGGGTTGAGTATAACCTATCAACAAATTAAGTTAAATGAAGTTTTAAACTTTCTGAGATACGCGAATATAGTTGTAACTGAAGAAAAATACCCACATAACCTTGTTTATCTGGTAATGAGTCACAGCTTATGTACGTGAATTGCAATTATAAGCGCCACCTAAATTAAAGCTTGTCAAGGTTTGTGGCTAAAAGATAAACAGGAATAAATGATTCACTGAAAAATAAACGCGAAGTACTGGGTTATGAACCTTTAGAATTTTGAAATGACCATCTAGACCAAATCGAGGTACGGTTTAAACTTACGAGCTTGTGCTCAAAACCTGGAGTCTGCACGATGCGAACCATAATAACTTTAGAGGAAAAAGATTTAAATTATGAGAAAATATTTCAACACCACTGGATTACAACCAACTGTACAAATCAAAGATACATTAATGCACGAAAAAAAATGCCGAAAATAGATTTAACAAGTAACTGGTTATTGGAATGCAACCAAAATGGGAGAGCAGTGGAGCATTTACTGAATAAGTATATTGCTATAACAGAAAACCAAAAATAATTAATGGTTTCTAAGCTTAACTTCTACAAGCTTAACATACACAGTCATTAGGAACACTGAATTAGATCCCTAAAATTTAGTTCACATCTTATGACCATAATACTTTCTAATTATTACAACTTGAACCTAATATCATTTGTCGTACACTAACAACCGAACGACTCAAATCATTTATATCGTTCAGTCTTATACTTACGTGAGCACAATATTTTATGTTCATTTGATAATACTGCCTAGCAAGTGTCTAATATACATAAAGAGGTCAAAAGCAAATCTTTAAACTAACATTACCCAGGACTAAAATGTACGTAGTGTAGCATCAGTTAAAAAGGTTTTATTTGGAGATATCACAATTTTCGCTTACTTCGACCAGATAAATACACCTTCAGTTATTCGAACGTAACCGGTAGAAAAGGTTTAGTATAAATAAGGTAACAGGATTGGAATTTTTCTACTATCCGGAGTAACATTTTTGACTTATAGTCAGTCAGCTACAACATAGGACCACACACGTATATGCATCGGTCCAAGTTGCCATACCTCATTAGTACAACGAGATGAACACCAAATTCATAGAATTAGTCACTTCAATGGTAGTAATATATAAAAGAAAGATTATATATAAGGATATAATATAAGAAGAAAGAATTAGTTCGTAAAAAAAGGTATAAAGCAATTTTAATCTCACGGTTTAAGGGGATATAAAGAGTGTATACACTTGCACCACTGTGATTGATTCTGAGCCAATGTCAACCAGAGTCTCCAACCATTGGTTACGATAGTCGCTCGGACCCCAACCAAGTAGTCTGCATCTACCAACATGGCTCAGACTAGAAGTTAGTGATTCCAAGTACTGATGTCACGATTTGGTTTGACCAACCCTAACTTCTAACCATCCCCAATACTAGTCAGCATTGCGCGTCGTGGTAATCGGTGTTCAGGTATGCGTAACACGTGAGGACAGGACTATGTCTTCTGTGTATTCTAAGTCGATAAGTAAATCTCCTGGAAGAAGATCAATGCCCGAAAATTCAGTCGACGATAACGTTATTTCCAGTAGTAGGTCTATGATGAAATTGAACAAAAATGGAGATAGTAGACAGCCTTGACGGACATCGCTTGAAATTGCAGAATCAGACGATAGCTCGCCATAAGCTCTGACTTGACTGGTAGTGTTCGAGTAAAGAGCATTCACAAGGTTTATATACTTCTGAGGTACACCTTTCAATAACAGACACTGCCAAAGTACCTCTCGGTATTCAGAGTAAAATGCTGATTTTAACTCAACAAGGACCACAATTGTCGGGCACCGATAACCATGCCCGCGTTCTAAAACCTGACAAATAGAGAATATGTAGTCGATGCAGCCACGATAAGGTCTAAAGCCAGCCTGGTTTACTCGTGTTTGCAGTTCACGAGTCTTTGTTAGGCGTTCGATAATTATTGGGGCTAGTATTTCAGATGTTATTTTAGTCAGACTAATCTCTCCTATGGTTATCACAGGATGATTTTGACCCTTTCCTATATATTAAGACGATCAGTGATTGCGACCAGTCAGATGGGATTATATTCAGATTATATCCAGATTTTAGCCAAAATATTAGTCAGCCTAATCGCTAAAATTGGACCACCATACATAAAGACCTCTGCAACCGATCCATCTGGACCAGCTGCTCTTCCTTGTTTCAGATTAGCTATTGCATATTGGGCTTCAATAAGAGTCAGGGGGCGAAATTTAATGTTCCATTCAGACTGTTAGGGAATGAGGAAAACCGTAAGGTAGCTGAAGGCCGGTTGAACTGCTCCTTGCAGTGTTTTAAACGTCTGGGCTGAGAGCAGATAATAGTGTTGGCTTTTCCTGAGATCGTCTCACGTACATTTGATTTCTTAATTCCAGTTTCTTTTACTTAACTATACCTGTAGCTCTTCTAGAGTTACTGCCGGTCCCAAGCCCGAGTAAAGGAAGAGGGTTGAGCATGGGGTTAGCGACCCCATCCTGTAGAAAACTAACTCGCTAAAAATAATTCAGTTTCTTTTATTAGTCTGAAAAGCTGTTTTGTGTTACTTACAGCAGCTGCCTTTTCCATCTCTTTTGCTTTCGTTGCTCACCACTGCTTACGGTCGTTCTTTAGATTTTTAGTTAGCCTAGACCTGATTTATTTACGCGTTCAGAGCCTGATGGGATGCGTTTAAGAGAATCTAGCAGTGCAATAGACTTAGAAGAAATCCACTGGTTTTTCATAACTCTTTGGTCCAAACCACTAATAGATGTCACTATTATTTCCACAGCTGTGAGTTCTACCAGTAGAGTGAGTGATGAAATCAATCTACATATAATAAAAGCTAGAGCGGTTTACGTTAATCTGGACCATCGTTAGAGTTGTGATGCTAATCTGGATGTAAATAGCATTCACAAATATACGTACAACATATACAAACCGATAAATATATGAATATGCCACAGCAAACAGTTTCTTTGATCATAAAAGCAACATCATAAGAGTAGGTGAACTGAGAAAAATGGATATCATTAATCAAATCGTACAGTGAAGTATCTGATATATATATATAATGGCTTACACATGTGCTAACAATCCGATGAAGCCTCAACGGTCGTTCATTTCGGCTTACATCTCCTTCACCGAGCCGCAGCATATTGAATAGAGTTTCACCAGCCACACGACCAAATAATGTGTGTTTTCCTGTAAGTTCTGTAGCCGGCCCTAGAGTGAAGAAAAACTGACTCCCGTTCATGTTTTCTTCAAGGCATGCCATCCCAACAAGACCACGACGATTGAAGGATAGTCTTGAATGAATTTCCGTCTGAACAATATAAGAACAAGAGATTTAAAACATGAGGACTCTACTAGTTAAACTCAATAAATTGTTAAATAAGTTTATAACCATAAGGGACTGTAAGTTGGTTACCAACATAATGAAATAGGATGTGACTTCAAAGAAATCATCTTTAGAAAGAATTCAAAGTCAAACAAATATGGTTAGTTGTCTGTCTGAAGGTTAATTTAAATAATAACAAAAAAAAGCCTATTTCGATGGCCTGGCTCAATTTGTAGTTGCATGTTAGTTTAACAACCTTTATTCGGGTAATTTTATATCGTCATCATTAACACTACAACTTAGTATTACAATTGGTATTACGTTGCCACAATTATTTACTGTTCATATTTACTTTGAGAATTTAACTCTGAAGAATATATATGAATTACTATTCTGTGACCTTGTTGATTACAAGTTTGTCAAGAGGGGATTTTGCTGAAGTTTGTGTCTTTTAATGGTGGAATCTGGTTAGCGTTTTTTTTAGCGAGTTAGTTTTCTACGGGATGGGGTCGCTAACCCCATGCCCAACCCTCCTTCTTTATCCGGGCTTGGGACAGGCAGTAGCCCCCGGAAAGGGACTCCAGGCGGACGTAGCGGCAACTGCAAGGATACTCCAAACTCTCTTCAGAAAGATCTGGGATGAGGAACAGGTACCAAAAGACTGGAAAGAAGGACTTCTAGTCAAAATACCAAAGAAAGGCGATCTCAGCAACTGTGAAAACTACAGGGGAATCACTCTTCTTTCAATACCAGGAAAAGTCTTTAACAGGTTATTGTTAAACAGGATGAAGGACTCCGTAGACGCACAACTTCGAGACCAACAGGCAGGATAGATCGTGGACAGACCAAATCGCAACTCTACGGATCATTGTGGAACAATCAATTAAATGGAATTCATCACTCTATATCAACTTCATTGACTACGAAAAAGCATTTGATAGCGTGGACAGAACAACCCTATGGAAGCTTCTTCGACACTACGGCGTGCCTCAGAAGATAGTCAATATCATACAGAATTCCTATGATGGATTAAACTGCAAAATCGTGCATGGAGGACAGTTGACAAAGTCGTTCGAAGTAAAGACCGGTGTCAGGCAAGGTTGCTTACTCTCACCCTTTCTCTTTCTCCTGGTGATCGACTGGACCATGAAGACATCAACATCTGAAGGGAAGCACGGGATACAGTGGACAGCTAGGATGCAATTGGATGATCTAGACTTCGCAGATGATCTGGCTCTTCTATCGCATACGCAACAACAAATGCAGAAGAAGACAACCAGTGTAGCTGCAGCCTCAGCAGCAATAGGTCTCAATATACACAAAGGGAAAAGCAAGATTCTTCGATACAACACAGCATATAACAATCCAATCACAATTGACGGAGAAGATTTAGAAGATGTAAAATCCTTTACATATTTGGGCAGTATCATCGATGAACACGGTGGATCTGATGCAGATGTGAAGGCACAGATCAGAAAAGCAAGAGCAGCATATTTACAACTGAAAAACATCTGGAACTCAAAACAATTGTCAACCAACACCAAAGTCAGAATTTTCAACACAAATGTCAAGACAGACCTACTGTATGGGACGGAAACCTGGGAAACTACGAAATCCATCATCCAAAAGATACAGGTGTTTATTAACAGTTGTCTACGCAAAATACTTCGGATCCGTTGGCCAGACACTACCAGCAACAACCTACTGCGGGAGAGAACAAACCAGATCCCAGTGGAGGAAGAAATCAGGAAGAAGCGCTGGAAGTGGATTGGACACACATTGAGGAAAGCACCCAACTGCGTCACAAGACAAGCCCTCACATGGGATCCTCAAGGCCAAAGGAGGAGAGAAAGACCAAAGAACACATTACGCCGAGAAATGGAGACAGACATGAGAAAAATGAACAGAAATTGGACACAACTGGAAAGGAAGGCCCAGGACAGTGTGGGTTTGAGAATGTTGGTCAGTGGCCTGTGATCCATTGGGAGTACAGGCATAAGTAAGTAAGTAATGATGGAATCGAACAAACATAGAGATCCGGTAGTCCTGTTACAAGAGAAAACGAACTAGAAGCTATGACAAAAACCACCACAAAATCGGAAGATACATAAAGAATAAGTAAAATACTTTTGACCAACCTTAAAGGGTTGTCCGTATATACTTTCGCCACCTTCTCCAGTACCTGTCGGATCTCCACCTTGAACGATGAAACCACGAACAAGCCGATGAAATGATGTGTCATTATAGTAGCCCTCCATACACAGCTGGACAAAATTTCTGCATGCTTTAGGGGTTTCTTTGGACCATAACTCAATTTCTATTTCCCCAACTGTGGTCTTTAGAATAACTTTACCATGAGTTGCTGGTTCGGTAACATAGATACTACTCATGACTGAAAAGTAAAAGACGTTCAATGCCGAAAAACCAAATATAACAGTTATATTCCCAAAAGAATGTCTGTCTCATACCGACAAGTGTTGATTTCAATAAGTGATGAGACTGTAACTTACGGACGACCTTGAGGGCAACTCCTAAGTGACCTTGAAAATATCCACTTACTAACAATGTCTAAATGAAGGTTACAAAGCAATGTAAGGAATTACAATTGTGATTCGTAGTTGATAATTAGGGTTAGGGACTAGATTTATTGTTTTCATCACGAGCTGACATCAGCTATGATGTTGAAATAGTATTTAGCCAAATGCGTGGATGAATTTCGTGCCAAAATCTAAGACCTTTTAACTTAAATCTAATTGGTTCATCCATGACTTGTAGTCTCGCCCAAGGTTTACTTGGGAAGTATTTTTGTCGCAATTAGCGTGAAACTTCAAATTACAGGGTAACAACACTGCTGAATCATTTTCAACGTGGGATACTTATAGAATACTATGCGCGCTATCTAAAAGGACAGTGGTATTGATTCGTGTTGAGTTAATTATTTGTTTTGATCGTAAATTAGACATCAAAACTTCTGTTTACACTTTAATTGAATCTACTCCAGTTAAAGTGATATTGTGTTGAGCGTTTTGATTTAGCTTTTGTGTATTTATTGCATCGAAGCATACTTGGTCGACTTTTACTTGATTGATTTAGTTAATGTTTTAGAATTCTTTTACATATCCTGTTTGTATCACCATTGTAGTTGATTTTCACGATGGCCAAATCTGCTCATAAATGTGGACAACCATATTGCTTATTGCCCGTGGAGGAAGGGATGCAATGTGACGAGCGTAATAAGTGGTTCCATAAGCTGTGCACCCGATTAAGCCCCGCTGCATATAAAAGGTACTCGAAGCCCAACTCTCATTGGTTTTGTAGTTTTTGTTGCTCGAGAGTAACATCACTCATCCAGGAAGCAATTAGCCTCCTGGTGTTGGCTGATAAGAAGGTTGATGAGGGCTGTACTGGCAACATTGGTACTGATGGCGAAGATTGAGTTAGTGTCATAAGTTCTGTCACGGCGCAAGTTAGAAATCTAACTGTGAAACCCGAAATTAAAATTTCTACCCCGAATCAATCAATGAGTGACACCGCATTAGATATTGGTAGCCATGTTGCTACAGCAGCAACTGGTGATCCAGATAAAACAATTACTGTCCCGAGCATTTCCAATGTAGATCCTACGACTGATGGGATATGGATGATGCGGAAACGTAGAAGAGTAGGAAAGACAGCTAAAACTAATGACCGTTTACTTGATAAGTCCTTGGTGGACTCTCGGACCACTCCACCAAAATCCCATAGTAAAGCATCTTCAAACACTGTCGTGAGTCACTCGCTCGACTCCAATTACTCTGTTACAATAAAAATTAATCGTAAGATACCAGTAGTTAATATACAGGATCTAAGGTCACGATCGATAGCTGTAAACACGATTTCAAATAAGCTAAACCACTCCCTAGTTTAATTATTTGGAACTTAGAGGAGTCGATAGACAATGACTCTGCTAAGAGACATGCACATGATCTGAAGTTAGTGGAATCCGTGGTAAGAAACGTACTACCTGAAGAGGTTTTAGAGGTACATATCACGAAAGTGATACGACTTGGTAAATGGGTTGGAGGTGAGACCCAACCAAGAAGGATCTTGAAGCTGGTTTTCAGGAATTTTGAAGAAAGAGATATATTATTGAAAAACGCACAAAATAATTCGTGATTCAAATATTCGTATCCGACCAGATCGCCCGCTTAAGGACCGAACTAATTGGAAGAATGCTCCTACGGAGTTGAGAACTCGGAAGTTAAAATGCGAAACTAACTTTACCATTAAGGGTTTTCGGGTAGTCAGGTCTTGGAAGCCAATGTTTCCGAGGTTTGTGTGGGTAGAACGAATGATTACCAAAGCATCTTAAGTGTGTGCTACAAGAACGCCCGCAGTCTTGGGAATAAAACGTCCGAGCTAAGTCTGGTGGTGGATGAATTAAGTCCCGATATAATTTTCATTACAGAAACTTGGTTCACCGTAGATATTGAATGTTCTCCCATCATTGCAGGCTATATCTGTATTAGAAGTGATAGAGTTTTAAGTCGCAAAACGGAGGCATAATGTTATACATTAGGAATCATTTTCGTATACAATCAATCATATAGAAGGCTCATGTCAGTGATACATGTGAGGCAGCATGTTGTAAGATTAAATCTAGAAATAGGTTAGTGACTATAGGGGGAATATACCGTAGTCCGTGTTGTCTTGCTGACGACTTTATCCTAAGACACACCTGTTCTTGAAGTATGGCAGAATGTTGTCTCATCATTGGGGACTTCAGCGCACCGCACATCAACTGGATAGAGCTTGCAGCTCTAGGTGGAGGTTTGGATGGCGACCTTTCATCAACCTTTATTTAGTGTACACTTGTCCAATGCACAACAATTACCATTTCGAAGACATCACCGCTATCCACAGCCACTGGACACTCAGTATTAGTTTGACTGGTTGATGGAGTAGCGTGATCCATAATACTGCAGAAAATAACAAATCCTTCACTCTGCCTGATAACAATAAATAACAGTTAGGAACGAATATGCGGCCAGTTACGGTCACATGCGGCAGCAACAATTATTTTAGCTAAAGAAAACTAACTTCCGTTCTCCATATCTAAAAAACGATGCTCAAAATATAACGGATTAAGATTTTACGGCATAAGATAAAAGAGTTTGCCTGCCAGTTAGGAACGATTATGTCGACATTTCGAGTTCCATACAGCCGCAACACTTATTTAAGCTAACAAAGCTAAACTTGGATCCCGAAAAAGAACTCAGAACAAAACACAAGACTAGCCAGACTGACTGAAGAAATACATTGACTTGAGTAGAAGCAGCAAAAATCCAGAAAAAATCTTTGATTAAAAATAAATTTCACACCAACATATAGAACATTACACTAACTACGGCATTTTAGCACACCGAAACATTAAATGACATAGCTACACAAAAGAAATAGCTGGAAGAAGCACAGAACGAAGAAAGCCGACCGCCATTGCTCGCAAAGATGGCGGATATAATGATTCACACCTCACTCTGATTGGTTGCTAAGCTGAAGGGCACATTTACGAAATTTAGTTGTGTTTAATTGCAGCTATCTACGCAAGATACTCAACATCCATTGACCGGATACCATCAGCAACAGCCTTTTGTAGGAGAGAACCAACCAGCTTCCAGCGGAAGAGGAAATTAGGAAAAGACGATGGAAATGGATAGGACATACATTGAGGAAATCTTCAAACTGCAATACGAGACAAGCGCTAACTTAGAATCCTGAAGGAAAGCAGAAAAGAGGAAAGCTAAAGAACACATTACGTCGGGAAATAGAAGCAGATATGAAAAGGATGAATAAGAGCTGGAAAGAATTGCCCAGGACAGGGTTGGATGGAGAATGCTGTTGGGCGGCCTATGCTCCTTCACAAGGACTAACAGGCGTAAGTAAGTGTCCAATGTATCACAAAACCGACACATATTGATATGAAATATGATACGTTACTGCTGGACCTTGCCCTCACCCACCACTGTGAGGATGTCATTGACATTCAGCACCTTCCCCCACTAGTGAACAGTAATCACGTTGCACTTCACTTTAAGTTTAGGACACATGGTTTACGATTTGTATCTGCTCCACCTCGTCTCAATATCTGGCGGGCTAATATTCCGGCAATCAGAGACTGTGCTATCTCGACTGATTGGTCGGTTGACGCAGATGGATCGGTCGAAGACGAATGGATTAAGTTTAAGGCTACATTCGAGTCCGTAACGTCGCCGTTTATCCCATGGTCAGCACGTAAGCCATCGTATTGCCCTCTATGGATTAATAAGGAAACTCGGAAGCCGCCAAAGCGTAGAAAACACTTCTGGGACTTTTTCCTGTTGAGAGGTCATGCATTATTTAAGCTTGAGTACCGAAAATTCCGGAATATTTGTAAGAAAACCATAGCTCAATCCCGTACTACTTACGAACAACAATTGGTATATGATAGCCCTACTTGCCCGAAACGATTGTTTTCGTATGTTAAACGGCGAATAAAACGTAATGATGGGGTTCTTCCGTTATTGTTACACGATAATTCAGATTTACTAGCTGAATCAGATCGGGCCAAAGCTGAAATTATACGTTTATTTTTCACAAATACTTGTCCCAATCACACCGAGATACCAGCCATTGAATCTGTACAGGTGACTGAGGAAACTGTCCTTCCGTTGATAAATAACCTCGAACTTCGCAAGATACCGGGTCCTGACGGGTTGCATCCACGGCTGCTGTCGTCTCTTGCGGAAATTATTTCAAAACCGCTCGCGACACTCTTCAACATGTCCTTTTCACTCGCTCAACTCCCTAGAGATTGAAAAGATGCTATTGTCACTCCTATATTTAAGGATGGTCAGAGACAGATCGTATCTAACTACCGGTCTGTCAGTCTGACTAGCATTGTCGTTAAGTTACTTGAAAAGATAATTCGGGTTAGGTTGCTAAGCCATATAGACTCACATAATCTGTTAGCTCTTGAGCAACATAGATTTTGTGACAAGCGTTCATGCTTGACTAACCTACTTAATGCGAGAGAGGATTGGACAGCAGCCTTAGATAAAGGTATGTCTGTCGATGTGATATTCATAGATTTTAGCAAAGCATTTGACAAGGTTTCACACTTAGGTCTTATGCAGAAGCTCTCGAGCTTCGGAATAATAGGTACTGTGCAGGAGTGGATAGGAAACTTCTTAGGCGACCGCAGACAGAGAGTAAGGGTCAATTGGACGCTATCCGATTGGAAGCCGGTCAAAAGTGGTGTACCTTAAGACACCATCTTGGGCTCTCTGCTTTTCCTTCTCTACGCAAATGAGTTACCGCTGTCGCTTAGGTCGTCGACATTATTACTTGCGGATGATGTTAAAATCTGGAGAACAATAAGAAGTGAGGCTGATCATCTGGATCTTCAAGCTGACTTAGACGATTTAGTTAGACGGGCTCGAGTTGGGGCTTAGAAATCAATTCTAGGAAGAGTGTGCTAATGCACATCGGTCACGGCAATAGTTACCATTATACTATTGATGGTAAACCTCTT